TTTTCAAATGTATTATTGCCAGATTCATAAATATGCGTTTTGTATATAATTTACGTTCCTAACCTATGATATACAAGCTCTTATCAAATGACATTTTACGAGTAACATCTATTGAATTTTGTTAATATTTAGCACATATATGCCATTATCAGTAATATTAATAATTTCGTTGGAATACATATTTCTCGCGATAATACTCACGTAAAAAACGGCGGGAAACTGTATTGCCAGGGCCATTCGATCTCTGCCATTGCTTTGGTTATCAACTGACGCAGACAGCTGTCAGACGCGTGAGATATCAGAGATCTTATAATTAGAAATGTCGAGAAAGAAAAAAATGATTTTTATTTAAAAAAACGCTTGATATATTTATCACAAATGATTGATTATCAAAAATCTTGTCTTTATTACAAAAATTGATGAAAAATAGCAACCGTTGTGTTATATTTTATATTACTACCTTCGCTTATATCCTGCTATATTTATAATCTATTAAAAACTTGACTAATACAGTGCAACTGATTCGTAATATATAGTAAAAATAGTGAAAATGGTCCCTAGGATTTTTAAATTATAAATACCGAGACATTCTGAAGATTCTGAATCTGTTGCGGAGTCACTGATAAATATATATCAAAATAGTATAATAATATATACATTTTATATATATTATATATTATAATATATAATAATAATATTCATTCTTTACAGAAATCTCTAATATTAGCTATTATAATTATTATTTATTACTGAAAGACAATAATTAATTACTTGGAATATTATGGACACTGAACAGTGTTTTTAAAACTTAAAATACATAATTTAAGTTAATTAGTAGTATTGGCCTTGCCTTTTAGTAGTATTTTATTAGATTTCTATGTATAAAGGGATGTCAATGGTTGGAATTTAGTAACAGTCTTTCACTTGACATTTTCTTCAATGCAATTTTTAATTTGCATTGGTTGTTTATATTAGACACAAAATTGGGAAGTAACGCGTTACTTTTTAAAATAAGTAATTAATAACAGTAACGAGTTATTTTTACCAAAAAGTAACTGTAACAGTAATGCGTTATTTGTTTTAACGTTCCTACCTCTGATTATGCATATCAGTTACGAACAAAGACTCTTGTAGACAATTAAATAATGATTCTGATAAAACACTTGCTCAGGCCCAAGGACTCTGAATGGTCTTAAACTAGCAAATGGATTCTTTCCACTATAGAGATAATTTACTTTTCTATCCAGGATAGTGTTTATTCTATCTATCTCTTCCTCTAATTCTTTTTGCATATAACATGTTAAGATTAATGGATAATTTTGTTTCGCTAGCATCTGTATGGACGGTGTCCATGTATCTCCATTGGAGATATGTTCATGAATACCTGCATTAAATCCCACAACCAAGTCCGGTTTTATGAATAATGAATTGCATAAGTAATCCTCATATAACACATCGTAAAACTCCAATGAAAGTTTCTTCTTTTGCAATATACAGTTATCACAAATGTGTAATAGATTGGATTTATATTTTAATTCTGGCCCAATCATTATAACTACCAATGATATTATAGGCTTTATTAAATGCAGCAGGATTTCCCATGTCATCAATGTAGTTTCTTCAACATAATTTGCAGCTATAACATGAATAACTAGATCTTTGCGTTGTGGTACATAGTCTAATATTTGCATGGCATGGAACAACGTCAAGGGTCGTGTGAGATATTGTGAATGCCTAGCTGCTAAGATATTGTATGACATTTCCGACTCAATCTGAATATTTCCATAAATGTTTATAAAGTCATTCATATTCCGAAATGTATCAGTGTAAAAAACGTACTGCAAGTAATGCATGTCCAAAGTATTGTCTTCTCCATTTATAAACAATAAATTTGAATGAAGACATAGTTCCAGAGAAACGCAAGTGTCTTTGTGTTTAATGCTATCTTTGTGATCTTTACAGAAGCTGACAGATACACAGCTTTGGCAATCCTCCAACAACTGACCATCCTGTTCATGGCAGACTGTACATTCCCTTGGAAACAGGAACATTTCTTTCTCGTACATTTCTAGAGGACGTCCAAGCTTGAATGATATAAGCAGAATCAAGTTCAGTTTCTGGTCATCCCACTCCTCTGAAGTTCCGTGATTTTCCATTTTGAAGTCTCGCAGTATGTCTTGTATGGCTTTACACAAAGATTTATGCTGCGACCAATGCTGCTTCTGATGCTGTCGATTACAATAGGCGATCATTCTGCAGCCACCACATTTCTTCAAACAGACGCCGTTGCCAAATCGTTTGCAAACGTGACACATGGTCGCATAGAAGAACGTATTATAATTAGCAATTATTTCATTTTTTGTTTCTAATTCCATGATTATCAGTCTTGTATCATATCCAAGCTATCCTTTGTGTATGTGTGTATTGATGCAAAATAATCTTTTCTCGTTTTAATTCCTGCATCCAGACAATTCAGCCTGTTTTTGATAATGTTTATAAAGTACTATAATAACATTGATTTAAAAGATAAACATTGTACACAGTTTGGAATTTGCTTGAAATTGGTTAGAATGTTGTTTTGCAGGCTGTACATTGATGCGCATGCGTTTTGTTTCCCGCGCTTTTAATTCTCTGAATTGATGCGTTTGTTTTGACTGTGTTGAAAATCTGTACTTCATCGGTCTGTTTGCGTGCTTGCACTTTTTGCACCTAACATCTTCGTTCTCTCTTTTTTTCTATACTTTTTTAAGTACAAACATTTTTGGGAATTTTAAGCAACACAAACCTCATAGCACTTCATAGATCTGTTCACGTTGCTTGAAATCCTCAAAAATATTTGCATTTTTTTAATGAAATAAATATATATTCGTGAAGAGAGAGAATAAGTGAATGTGTTGAGTGTAAAAAGTGCAAACAGCCCAAACAGACCCCTCATGTCTATATAAACACCACAATTACCGACAGTTTAATTATCGTCATTAGTACAAAGAGTCGAAGAAATATAATTAAATTTAAACTGCTACTAAAATTCTTTAAAAAATTCCATAGACTTTAGTTTATTTTAATTCTCTGCATTTAGAATCTATATATTATTTATTTTCATAAAAAACATACATTCTGTACAACACAGAATTTACAAAATTTCCAGCATCACAGGAGATTGGAGTGTTATAAGATGTGCACAAATATATATACACACAACTCCACAATATAAAAACTTTGTATTACACCCTAGTAATATTCCTTGCGATATACATTCATATGTACATACGCAACACACATATATATATGTATATATGTATACATACATATATGTAGTTTAATTGAATTAATATAATTAATACGTGATATATAACGATATTTATTCTTTTTTTTTAAATACTATTCTCTGTCTAGGAAGAGTTCTGAACTGTAATTAAAATGACAAAACATGCCACAAGACCAGTCAACTTACAATTAGACTTGAAAGTCAAGACAGCATAAAATTTGCCTTTTTATGCAGGACTAGTTCTTATTGTTTATCGAAATGCACTGCAAATTATAGCAAAATTTTGGCGTTTTACAATTTCACTCTTTATCATAGATAAATTTTGCTTTATAATATACACGTCGTACAATTACGCGATCTATGAAAACTGGCAGGTGCACAAAATTATCAGTCGCAATTATATCCAATCGTTGCATTTTTTAGGCTTTAAAAAATCGTACAACACGGACAACATATTGTTTGCATATCGGACATTCAGACATTTGTTTGCCACAATTTATGCAACAAGCCATATGACCGCATTCCAAAATAACACACTCAATCGGCGCATCCCAACAGATTTTACACAATTCTTCCTGACTGAGTTGTTCCACATCTGTAATTTTAATAACTTATTTATAGTAAATGACAGAACATAATAAAATATATTAAATAATACCAAAACAAGAATATAAATAAACGCTCGAAGTTTGCAATGCAAAACAATTCAAAAATCAGCGACCAAATAACGAGCAATATAAAGAGTTTTGTTATATATATTAATATAAATTTTACCTATCAATATAATTATCAATATATAAATTATAATATAAACGTTTCGACTCTACAGAGAGCCTTCCTAGAGACATAACGTTATATATCGTAATTGTTAAAATTAAACGAATATTGTTGTTACACATTTTTTATAAAAACCTTTGAGGAAATTGTTGTTGCACCATTATATAAATCAATTGTGAAGAAATTCTTATATTATGGTACTAAATGTAATTCTCAACGTTAAACGAATAATTAGTTTTGCATTTTTAATATAGACATGTTTTGAAGATCTGATATGGTTCACTAGTATTTATCATCAATAATTGATATGGGATTCTTCTTTAATTTAAAATAATTGTAAAGCGAAAGAAATATGTTAACTTATTTATACTGAAAAAGGCTTTGTGTAATCGAAACATTTATATTATAAGTTATATATTGATAATTATATTGATAGGTTAAATTTATATTAATATATTAACAAAACACTTTTTATATTGCTCGTTATTTGGTCGCTAATTTTTGATTGTTTTGTATATTAAATAATCTTTATACCTATATAAATATCTCTTTACTGTCTAAACAACAACATTATATTTAATATGAATATAAATATTATCCGGTTGTGTTATGATATAATACATTTTACCTTTTCTAGACTGATTATACTCCTGCCATAATCTGGTCACTTTGTTCAATAAATCCGGTCTCTCTATGCAGCCTTTATAATCTACGCGATTTGTACTCAACAAATTTTTTAATTGTTTAATACTTAGATACTCTAATTCTGACGCTTCTTTTATGTCTGATAATTGTACCTTGTCTGACCACTGCAAATAGAGATAAAATACAATATAAATACTATACAAGTATTTTATAAATGTTGTTTACAAGCATATATACCGTGGGAATCTCTGTGACCATATCCGATTTTTTTTCATTCGACGTTTCGGGAACTTCCTCCTGCTCGATGATTACTGGCTGCGATGCAGTACTGGGTCCAGTTAAACTGCTGTCATTCCCAAATATTTCTTCTATTAAGAGGTCAGTATTTTTCGTTGGTCTCTCCTCGGGTGATTCGCTATCACTGCTAAGTGGAACACTAATAACTGGACTACTATGACTACTTTCACTTGCTTCCTCTGCCATTTCAATATCCTCGTTTCTTACAGGTTCTGTCGATGCCTGCACGTCCGCCGCATTCGCACCAGGTTCATTATTTGCAGTACTAACATTTGGCATATTTTCCATTCTATTTAAAGGAGGATCAACTCTGGAACTAAAGTCATATTACTTAAAAAAATATTTTTAAAAGAGGAATATATAATTTATATAAATTTTGTATTAAAATAAAATAAAATAAAAAAAGTTCATATTAGGCAAAAAACTTGGCTCTCAAAAAATTCAAGTGTTAAGTCTAATCATACACAATTGAAAAGCACAGATAATAGGAATAGAAAATAACAGATTTTATTCTATTAGAAATTATGTATTTTGATATAATTGATAGGAAAGCTGTTATTCCCTGTTCTTTTCATTAAGTCTAAACTGCCAATAATTATATACACTGCAATGTAAAACGTACCGTTGTTCTTCCCCAACATTTTGCGTCCTGAAGCTTGTAGTGTGGTCAGAAGTCAAGCTCGAATCAGTTCCGTTAGCAAAAAGCATTAGTAAATGCACCAAGTCTTCTTTCTCTGAAAATTGAAGTATAGTTTTTTATAAAAAAAAAATTCTTCAAGTTCTTATGAAATTGATATTAAGAAGGTATTATTACAGAGAGAGACATGTTGGCAGGCAGCACTATACATATTAATGCACGTACCGACACAACCCTTAACAGAAACTTTTTTTGCCACAAGATACTGACGCAAGTCCCTAGAACGTATCTGTCTTATTTGATTTCTGATGAGTGGCCTCATTGATAATAGACCGCAACTATCGCAGGTGAACACCTTGTCGAACCGTTTGATTACACATTCGGAACAGAAATACCTCAGGCAGTCCACGCATTGTTTCTAAAAATTGTACAAGGAATATAAACATATATATGTCGAATATTAAACCAAAATTTTCTAATCACGAATTATGATAAAGTACGATATCAAATATCAGGCAAATAAATTCCTGGAACCAGATTACTGTGGAGTTCTTAATAAAAAAAATTTCTAGATTATTTAACAGAAGAAGGTCAAATGTTAATTGCTAAATAATTTAGTACGCAGTGAATCTGTGTCATCACTTCTACGGTGACATTTGCATGACAATTTGAAGGCCCAAATTCATTGTCCGGACAAACAAGACTTGTCAAGGTTTGTCGAATTGTCGGATCGCCCTTGGAACCGGTCGTTCAGCGAGGGAGAAGGGCCAGGTGTTCCCGATCAGGGTGTCCACTCACTTTTCTTTTAAACAGGTTGAACTTTGCATTGCAGGCCTCGCAAGCCATCTCGGGTCGCCCGTTATCGCCCGTTCGTTTTCTGAAACGTTCTCGTTTTGCGCGCCGTGAGATATCACTGTGTTGAGAAATCGAATGGGAATAACAAGTACTGTACGTTGTATTCTGCATGAAAATCTGGAGCAGCGTAACGTGAACGCCGACGATCGTGATGTAAGAAGAACGAGCCGGACGAGCGTAATCCTTTCAGATCGATAGTATGATATTGTTATCGGTTCAGTACGATATAAGTTCGTATAAGTCCGAATCAGTCCGAATTACTCCGATTACTCCAAAGTCCGAACAATCCGACCAGTCCGACTATGAAGGAAAAAAAAAACAAAGATGCCCAATCGGTACAGCAGAAAATGTGTTTCTATCTTATTTACATATGACAATACAGGTGCCTTTTCATGCCGACACTCGACGCTCATTTTTGCTTTTCAAAATAAGGCTAAGTCAGATCTTATATTCAAGACCGTCTTAAGTACAGTCTTAAGAAGTGACGTAACCAATCAGAGAGCCGTATTAGCGTCTTAAGACATTACTTAAGACGATCTTGAAGTAAAAACGGGATATGAATAACGTCCTAAGTCACGTGATACAAAATTGACGAATATCAATTTTGATCACGTCTATTTTGACGCTGAAAATCAGCGTCAGCATGAAAAGGCACTTTAATAGTGGGCGAGTTCAAAACGGCTAGGCACGCTTACCGTGCGATTGAATATGATTGATTGAATCTATAAGTACCGACGAGATACTATTAAAGACCGATATCCTTACGGGAGTTCGCGTCCTTGTGAATTTTGAAGTAATTAAGAGTTAAAAAACTGATAATATTATACTAATTTTATGATTTATTAATTTAGTCGACGTATTAATGCATTTAGAACTCAATAATACTCGATTTTTCTTTAAAATTGTAATTTCAGTGGTATCGTTAAAGCTGAATTATCAACAGAGATGATAACTGCGAAGAAAAAAAATTGTAATTTTTCTGCAATATATAAGATATTATAGCTTTACAAGTATGCATATTTATTTATGGAATATTTATGTAATAAAAAATCATGAATTTAATAATGTATGAGCCAAATATTTATGTTAATAATAGCAAATTTAAATCAATTGTCGATAATGTCAGCATTCTTCAATTACCTCCGGGCCCTTGGGGCCCTTTTTATTCGCCGAAAATTTACCCAGGATTGACGGTCTTTAATAGTATCTTGTCGGTGCTATAAGTAACAATCGAATATGCTCATTTACTCGGCGAGCGGGCTAGCCGCTAGCATTTGTCAACTTGAATGTATCCGCTATCTTATCGATGCTATCACCTTCATTCCCTGAATATGGTGGAATCAATCAAAAATTATCACTCGATTACTTAACTCTTATACTAAAGGACTTTATTTGTGTCGACTTGTGTTATCAAATGAAAAGCACCCATTGTCTGTTCTTATTTATTTCTAAATAATAACGGCT